TCTTCAGAGTTTCTTCTGACATCCATTTTGGTCTTTTCTTCCTCTTATGTCTTTATAGTGACCATTTGTACTCTTCCTGGATGTTACATTTGTACTAATGAAGACGAAATTGTGTATATGTGTGTTTTGTATATTTAGGAAGAAATTTTTGATTGATAATGCTGAACTATTTGTTTTTATTAAATCAGTTTATTTATTTTTCATTTCAGTGAACATCTACAGAGATTTTGGAATTCCATTCATTCATTGTTGCACCCTTCTCCCCGTCCACCCCACTCCCCCCCTTCCTTGAAAAGCAAAAGAAAAACTCCCTCATTGGTACACAATCCCCCCCGCACTTCCCTCAACCACACCCCCAACCCCAAATATATCTGCAACCCTCATTCCGTACTCTTATGATAAACATAATGCCCTATAATATAATACTTTTAAACTATTCTCTCCCCCATAGACTTCAATGCCGTAATCATATTTCATCCAGTTTTTCTCAGTCTTACCCCCACCCCGTATCAGCCTCATTCTACAACAGTGGCACCTTATAGCATTTGTCCTTTTGTGACTGAGATACCTCACTCAGCATAATGTCCTCCAGGGTCACCCATTTTGAATAATATTGCGTGAGTTCCTTGTTTTTCAATGCAGCATAGTATTCCATTGTGCGAATATACCACAGCTTCTCTATCCATTCGTTTCTTGATGAGCATTTAGGTTGTTTCCAACTCCTTGCTATTGTAAACAAAGCCGCAATAAACATGGGTATGCATATATCTACTTGGATGTCATTTATGGTCTCTTTAGGGTATATTCCCAGTAGTGGACTTGCTGGGTCAAATGGCATCTCTATTTGCAGCTTTTTGAGAAAGTGCCACATCACTTTCCAGAGTGGTTGCACCATTTTACACTCCCACCAACAGTGAATAAGGTTTCCAGTCTCTCCACAACCTCGCCAGCATTTGTTGCTTGCTGTTCTGTTAAGTTTTGCTAGTCTTACTGGGGTGAGATGATATCTCATGGTTGTCTTGATTTGCATCTCTCTCAGAGCTAGGGATTTTGAACATTTCTTCATGTGCTTATTGGCCATCTGAATGTCTGAACTATTTTTAAAATTCACTAACCACTACACAAAGGTAACCATAAACCTCAACTTCTCTATCCTCTTCTTTGTTGTTGATGTTATTGTTGTTGAGTACCATCGAGTTGGAACCAACCCATAGCTGACCCTCCAGCAGGTTTTCAGAGGTATGGGAGGAGAATATTGCCTATCTTCCTCCTGAAGAGTGCAGGTGGATTGGAACTGCATGCCTTCAGGACTGCAGGGCAGCACCTTACCACTAGGCCTCTAGAGCTCACCCTGTTCTTACCACTTCTTAAAATAAACATGCTTGCTTTTTACAAACTTGATTTCACATAAAAAATTTTAATATGTTTTAATATCTTACTGGAACTGGAGTAGTCATTGATATCTCTGCCTTATTAAGTACTCCTCTACAATACTTTTAAAAGGAAGTATTTTGTTTCAAAAATCTCATTTATGTGGCCTTAAGCCCAAAGTTCTCAGCACAAACTTTTAATTCCAAAAGCTTGATATTGCTGCATGACTTATACATGCAATGACATTTTCAACATTAACATAAGATTTGACCTTTGCATCCAATCTTCTGGATGTTATGTTTTAGTATGCTGTAATTTTTTAAAATTATTATTGTTTGTTGTTTAAAGGAATATCTTATTGTATAAACTTAAGGAATACAGTAGTTCTAAGATTGAGTGGGTGGGGAGCCTAGAAGAGGACTGTAGCAGAGCGAAATAAATTATAATTTTAAACTTTCAAAATTTCAAACATCTAGAATAGTTAATTTTTCTCCTAATCTAAATTAAATCATATTCTTAAAGAGGCAAATAAATATGTAAGAAAATACATTGACAAAACCACAATTACATTAAAAATAGAAAATAAATTAAGCAAATTTTGTTTATTTACTACAGCATAGACATGTTTATATTTAACAAATTTGTATTTATTGATTTCACAAGAAATAATATATCTAGGTTAATTTTTAAATTCCTTGTGGTTTTTTCCATAAGTAATGTAATACATATGATTTAAACAAGATCTTTTACAACAAAATTGTCCATAATTACCTTATCTATTGCAGATTTAAGAACATTCTGACACAGATATTCAGAGAAAATAGATTTTAATAAAATCTCAGTAAAGAAATGTCACAAAAAGTGTATCCTTTGACATCTAACTAGAATTATTACTCACAACTATTTAATTTTTAAATAAAGTCAGTTTAGCCTTAGAAAAACATTAGAAGAAAAACATTGGAAAATATATCTAAACACAAAAATGACTGCAAACTCTGATCAATAATAAAACATTGGCTAAATGAGATGGACTGGCATGGGACATTTTGAGTCAGAGGATCATATGATCTACTATGCTGGAGACCAAAAGGTGAGAAAATGGAGTTGCTGTCATAGCCAAAAAAGTCATTTCTAGATCTGTCTTGAAATACTATGTTGTGAGTGACAGGATAATATACATACGTATACAAGGAAGTCCGGTGAATACCACCATCATTCAAATTTTTGTACCAATAACTAGAGCCAAAAAAGAGGAAATAGAAGATTTCTACCAACATTTACAGTCAGAGATTGATCGAACATGCAATTAAGTTGCATTAATAATAATGGGTGACTGGAATGCAAAAGCTGGGAATAGAGAAGGATCAGCAATTGGAAAACATGGACTTGGTGACAGAAATGAAGCAGGAGATAGAATGATAGAATTTTGCATAATCAAAGGCTTATTCATTGTAAATACAATTATAAGAAACACAAACCCAGGCTATATATATAGATATCACCTGATGGTATGCATAGGAATCAGATTGACTACATCTGTAGAAAGAATTGCTAGAGAAGCTCAATATCAAGCAGAGAAAACTAGGCCAGGTGCTGATTGTGGAACAGACCAGCAACTGCTCATATTCAAGTTCAAGCTGAAGCTGAGGAAAATTAAACCAGGTCTACAGGAACCAAAATTTGACCTTGGGTCTATCCCACCATTATTCTTACACATTAATTATAAGATTTAAGCTGTCGGTTTTATCCAGCCTTTGAGAGGTCTCACTTCAGCAGTTTTAAGACATAGAAATTTCCCAAATAACTGAAATAATATTCTCTTACTACATATAGGGCTTTATTTATATGTTATTAGACAATAAGTTGTTATTTTCTTATTTTGATGATTGTCAAGCTTCAATGTTCATTAGCACTTTCTGGAAGCCTTGTTTCAAAGCAGGTCGCTGGGTCTCCAACATCAGAAATTCTACTCTCTGGGTCTTGATAATTGCCCTTTCTTAAAATTTCCTAAGTGCTGCTGGTACTGATAATATGAGGATTATCACACTGAGAGCTATTCATTTAAAATAACAAACCAGAAGATATAATGAAAATTAAGAAAAAAATACAGGAACACTATAATTCTTTTTATGATTATTTAAATATTCTGGTAAATCTCAGCTATGATACAAAATATCTCATTAAAATTATTTCATTTTGCTAGAGGGCTATCTTAAAAGCTCTTTAAGTCTCATTAGAAAAAAAAATTTCTCATATGTAACAAAAACCATTTTCAAAATAAGCAGATTTTTGCCAGTATATGACTTCATTACTGGGAAATTTTTGTATTCCGACCATTGCTTTATCTTTTAACTTAAAAATATATGTAATTAATGTGAGTGTGTGTGTGTAAGCATATCTAGTGAGACTTGCTTTTGTAGTTATGTGCGACTCATAGCGACCCTATGGCACAACAGCCCTAAACCCTAAACCCTCTTCTGTGCCAATCTTATTGTCTCTGACACACCTACTCCCATTACCCCAGTGAAAGGATTACAAATTAGAATTAGAAAGTCCTAAATACAATTTCCTATAGTAGGTGTTCTTGTGGCCTAGTGGGTAAAAAGTTGTGCTGCTAAACTGATGGTGGCACCTCTCTCTGGTGGTTCAAATCCACTAGTTGTTCTGAGGGAGAAAAATGGACAGTGTCCTCCTGCACAAATTACAGCTTCTGAAAACTCACTTAAGGGATACTTATGAGTCCATGCTAACTTGAGGACAATGAGTAAATGAGAGAATGAATGGGTGAAACCAATAAGGAGGAAGTTCTGGTGGCATTGTTCATAGGAAGTTGCACTGAAAGAGAAGTCCCCAGGAAAGGAGAGGCTCTGCAAGGTTTAAACTCCTAGGAAGGAAGAAAAGAAGTTTTGCAGGAACTTTGTTATCTCTAAAATGAGGAAGACTTTCTGAGAATTGTTTCTTGCAAAAATGTTTCTTTTTTTCCCTAGGTCAGCGATGTTTTGACCTTATTAAAAAAATCCCTCATCTGATAAGCGGGAACTTGTCAAAACTCACACACTCCTACCCTGTTGAGATTGTAGAGCTAATCCTTATACTACTCTTCACCATTAGATCCCTGCAGGTGTGGTTTCCAGCTGCCTCAACTGCAGACAATTGGTTTGCAGTTCATCAGTGTCTTCAGCATCATTAACAGTTATGAAATTAACATGGGAGAGAGCTAGTCAGACTGAAACATTATGACAAGGTGGAGCCAGATGGAGATAGACAGATCCAGAGCCAGAGATTTTGCTTGCTGAATGTTTGAAGGAAAAGCTGACTTGAGATTTCTATGAATTAACTTGGACTTTCACTGTGTGATATATTTTGCCTTTTTTTCCACCCACTTCTGATCTGTTTCCCTAATGACCTCCACAAGTAAAAAGAGGTCTTGTAAAATCTGTGCAGTCATTTGCTACAAATTTCAGACCCCATAAGAGTAGAAATAAGTGCAGCAAAGGAGAGGGACAACATCTGACCTAATAGGGATCAGTTTTACATTGTGGATGCTATTTATGGGGACTGTTCCTCTTTGTGGAATTAATGGAAGTAACACTCAGTTGTCCCTCATTGCCCTTGCTCCTTTTAGATGTTTAGATAGTAAACTGCAGAGGACGGTAAGAGTCAGTAGATTGTGAAGTTTGTTGCTGCTCAGTTGCAAGATTAATAAATACCTGAAGGAAATAATGAAAATAGTTGTTAGTTCATAGGAATATGGAACATTTTGGCCTTAACTCTTATTTTCTCTTAAAGTACTGCTTAACTCTTCTGAAATCAACTATTCATACCACCCTGTCCTGAACTGCTATAAACATGGAAATCCATTCAGGACTCAATTCTAGAGATGATGCACATTTCTGAAAAGTAAAAAATTACCTGAGAATTCTCAATATTATGTACATGTTTCTGAAAGTTGTGATTTAATTTTATATTTCAGGTCATCTTAATAAACCAAGAACTTCCTCTTCCAAAGTTATCTTAAACTGAGCTACAGAGATATTTTGAGAGATGAGTAGAGAAGAGACATGATTTAACTCACTAAATGTAACCTTCAGTAGAATATATAAACAAATTATGTAATATTTACTACTCTTACCACATTTTTAAAAAATAAAGAATGAATAATTAAAAGAAATAGGCATAAAGTAATTTGACTAATTTCAAAAATTGACTAAATAAATCTAATGAGTAAAACAAAATGCAAAATTCAATGAGATACTCTACCTGTTCCAAAGTGGTTTGGTTAATGGAGTAGTGTTTGATATTCAAGAAGTTCTTATTGTTCTCTAGAACTTTGAACAAATCAGCTAAGCAACCCCATCGTTTTGGTACATGATATTCCAATAAATTAAAGTGTTGTCCCTTAAAAGAAATAAATATGTAATGTAGTGATTAGTAAATATTAAACAAAAGTAATAAAATTATATTTAATTGTCAAATAAATACAAGAGGTTTTTGTGTTGTGTTTTGTTTGCCCTGATCCTGATCACAGATTATACTATGCCTAGAAACAACTGATAAGCAGAAAATGAACATAGTATATTGAAAATTTTATGGAGAAAGACTGACGCTCATATGATGACTTGAATCTAGTTCTAAATGTCCTTAGCATTGGGTAAGACACCTTGAACTTCATTGACATATATGCAAAATGGGGATAGAAATATCTGTTTTATGTTTATTTAAAATTTTACAAGGAAGAATGATAATGTTTTGCAGAGGACCTCTTACATGGTAAGATTTTATCAAATGATTGTTGAAATAGATAAAAAATAGAAACTTTATCATTTGCAATCCCAAAGCACATAGTTCAAATCTAGCAGCTCCTTTGGATGGGTAATCTCCTCCCCTGTAAGTAACTGTCTCTGGGTCAGCTATGAGTCAGTTCTGATTCAGGGGTACTCAACAACAACAAAAACAAAAACAACCACTTGCTGCTATAACTTATAATACTCTACAATTACTCAACCATCCAAAGACTTGCATACTGTGATTCTCAAACTTTAATATGCACAGGTATCACCTGGTGGCATATTAAAAGGAAGATTCTGATTCAATAGTTTGGGGACTGAGGTTCAGAATATCCAACCATCTTATAAGTGATGTAGATTCTGCTGATTCAAGGACCACTCTTTGAGTCAAAATCTTGGGAAATTCTTACTCAAAGTTTAGAATAATTTCTTGGTTCAAATCCACCAGATGCTTTGCTGGAAAAGGAGGAACAATCTCCTCCTGTACCAGTCAAATCTGATTTGATGGTACACACACACACACACATGCATGCACACACAAATAATAAAAATTTTTTAAAAAAAGAATAATTTCTGTGAAATTATTTTGTGAAACTGCTACCAAAAAGCCTGGAGCAAAACATGTACCAAGACAACTTTTACAATCTCTTACACTCACTATACAGTAGAGATGTGCTACAGATATGATAGTCAATATCTAATGACAGTTTACTCTGCCAGTCCAACAAGTGGCCAAGCATGTATATCCCTTCAGATATGTCAAGCAACATCAGTAGTACAAGATGGTTTTGATAGGAAGACAAAGCCTATATAATGTATTAAGCCAAGAAAATATACAGCATTTATAACAGCAGAAAATTTAAACAGGCTAATCTATATATGAAGGAAGAAGCAAGGACAAATATTAGCTCTACCTTAAACTGGATTCCTGGGAAATGGAGCTTCAGGGAGTCAGAAATAGTGTGATGTTTATCTTCTCTTATACAAGGCCAAATCTTGACTGTATAACCATCACCATATCTAAGAGTTGAGTGAAATTAAAGTTTTGTTACAAATGTATTCATTCACTTAAGACGATTTCACCACAAGCTTAATCCATTTCATGTAGGGAGAAAAAGTTAAAAATGTGATATTCAGATATTCACTGTAACACACTTATGTAACTTGCTTTAATTTCCTTCAAAGTACTACAAGAATATATTTTAATTCTTGTTGTTGTTATGTTGTTATGTAACACTGTGCCAATCTTGCTGTCTCAAACACACTCATTCCTACCACTCCACTCACAGAATCAATCCATCTCATCGAGGGTCTTCCTCTCCTGCGCCGTCCCTCCACTCTCTCAAACATGATGTCCCTCTCCAAGAAACAGTCCCTCCTTGCAACATGCCCAAAGTATGTTAGACGAAGCTTCAGAATCCTTGACTCTAGGGAACATTCTAGCTTCACCCTCTCCAGGACAAACCTGTTTGTTCTCCTAGCAGTCCATGGTATATTCAACACTCTTCTCCAGCACCACAACTCAAAGGCATCAATTCTCTTTCTATCATCCCTATTCACTGTACAACTCTGCGATGCATAGCACGTAATTGCAAAGACTATAGCCTGGATTAGGCGCACCTTAGTCTCCAGCCTGATGTCATTGCACTTCAGTACTCTTGAGAGGTCTCTCACAGCTGACTTTCCCAATGCAATTTGTCTCCTGATTTCCTGGCTGCTGTTACCAAGAGTGTTAACTGTGGAGCCAAGTAAACGAAAACTGTTAACTATCTCAATCTCTTCACCATCCATACTGATGCTGCCAATTAGCCCAGTGGTGAGAATCTTTGTTTTCTTGATATTGAGCTTCAATCCATATTGAAGATTGCAGTCCTTGACCTTCTACAGCAAGCGTTTAAGGTCCTTCTCAGTTTCAGTGAGCAGGGTCGTGTCATCTGCATAAAGCAGGTTGTTGACGATTCTTCCACCAATCCTAATGCCACATTCCTCCTCTTACAGCCCAGCATCTCAGATGATCTGTTCTGCATACAGATTGAAAAGGTGTGGAGACAAAATACATCCATGATGGACCCCTTTCTTGATTTCGAACCATCCAATGTCTCCCTGCTCTGTTCTGATGACTGCCTCTTTGTCCAAGTACAGGTTTTGCATTAGCACGATCAAATGTTCTGGGATTCCCATTCTTTTCAGAGTCAGCCATAGCTTGTTGTGATCCACACAGTCAAAAGCCTTTGCATAATCAATGAAGCACAGATAGACATTCTTCTGGTATTCTCTGCTTTCTGCCAAAATCCATCTTACATTATCTGTAATATCCGTAGTACCACAACCTCTTCTAATTCCAGCCTGCACATCTGGCAGTTCTCTGTTGACATATTGTTCCAAACGTTTTTTTTGGATAATTTTCAGCAGAATCTTGCTTGCGTGTGATATCAATGATATTGTTCGATAATTTCCACACTCTTTTGGGTTGCCTTTCTTTAGAATGGGAACAAATATTATATATATATATAAATAGTATATATATATCTTCCAATTAGTTGGCCAGCTGGCTGTCCTCAAGTTTTCCTGGCACAACTTAGTGAGCACATCCAGGGCAGCATCTGTTTGTTGAAATAAATCAATTGGTATGCAGTCAACGCATGGAGCCTTGTTTTTTGCCAATTCTTTCATAGCAACTTGAACTTTTTCGTATTTTAATTAGCCACTCCAAAATTGAAGATCAATCAATAAAAGAGGATAAGCAAAAATCTAAACTACGAATGTTGTTGTTGATATGTGTCATTGAGTTGCCTGTGACTCATAGCAACCTTATGTAAAACAGCCCTAAACTCTGCTCTATCCTGTGCCATTCTGACTGTCTCTGACTACCTCCATTTCCCTAGTCACTGAATCAATCCATCTCATCAAGGCTTTCATCTTTTGCCCTGTCCCTCCACACTCTCAAGCATGATGTCCCTTTCTAAGGATTGATATATCCTTCCAACATGTCCAAACTATGTCAGACAAAACTTTAGAATCCTTGCCTGCAAGGATTATCCTGTTCTCATCCTCTCTAGGATGAACCTGTTTGTTCTCGTAGCAGTGTATGGTGTATTAAATACTCTTTTTTCAGCACCACACCTCAATTCTTTTATCATTGCTGTCATTGACCAGCTTTCTGATGCATAGGAAGTGATTGCAAAGACTATGGCCTGAATCAGGTGCATCTTAGTCTCCAGACTGACATCGTTGCTCTTCAGGGCTTTGAAGAGTTCTCTGACATCAGACTTTCCCAGTGTAATTTTTTTTTTAATTTCCTGGGTGCTGGTACCAAGAGTGTTGATTGAGGAGTCAAGCAAACTAAAACTATTAACAATCTCAGTCTCTTCACCATTCATCCTGATGCTGTCAATTGGTCCAGTGGGGAGAATCTTTGTTTTCTCGTTATCGAACCTCAATCCCTATTGAAGGCTATAGTGCTTGACCTTCTGCAGCAAGCACTTTGGTCCTCTTCAGTTTCAGCAAGCAGGGTTGCGTCATCTGCATAAAGCACATGTACTTCCACCAATCCTGATACCACACTTCTCCTCCTCGAGTTGCAATATTTAAGAATGCTTTGGGCAGAATATTAAATGATCCATGAAGCATTAAAAGATGATGGAAACAGTATGCAGAGTCATTGTAACATAAGGGATTGGCTGACATACAATAATTTCATGAAACAACCTATGAGCAAGAGCCTATGGTAACAAAGGAAGATGTTCAAGTTGCTCTGAAAGAATTGGCAAAAAAAGGCCCCAGGAATTGATAGTACATCAACTGGTATATTTCAACAAACAAGTGCTACCATGGATGTGCTCACCAAGTTGTGTCAAGAAGTCTGGAGGAAAACCACCTGGCCAACTAATTGGAAAAGATATATATTTGTTCCCAATCCAAAGAAAGGTGACCAGACAGAATGTGGAAATTATCAAACAATATCACTAATATCACATGCAAGCAATATTCTGCTGAAAATTGTCCAAAAATGACTGGAACAGTCCATCAACAGATTACTGCCAGAAGTATAGACTGGGTTTAGAAGGGGTCTTGGAATTAGGGCTATTGTAGCTATGTTAGATGAATCTCTTAGCTAAAAGAAGGGAGTACCAGAGGAATGTCTATATGTGTTTCATTGATTATGCAAAGGCATTTGACTGTGTGGATCATAACAAACTGTGGCTGACTCTGAGAGAATCAGAATCCAGAACATTTCTGTGCTTATACGAAACCTATACTTGGACCAGGAAACCTATATTTGGACCAGGAAACAGGCATCAGAACAGGGAAAGGAAACACTACATGGTTCAAAATTGGGAAGGGTGTATGCCAATGACTTGTCCTAGCTCCATACCTTTTCCAGCTACATACAGAACAGATTATCTGGGAGGCTGAGCTCTAAGAGAAAAAATTATGAATGAAAAATACTTATTTAATAGTTTATAAGCTAGACTTGCTGAGCAAGTTTATCTTTTTTTTTTATTTTTTAACTCCAGCTCTTTATTGTATTACTTTGCTTTGTCTTCCTGAATTGCCCTTTGAAATCTTCTGCTCAGCTCCTTAATTTCTTGATTGCTTTGCTTTCTTGGTGCTCTAGTGCAATATTCAGAGTCTCATCTGACATCCTTTTGGTCTTTTCTTTCTCCTCTGCTTTTGTAATGACCTTTTGCATTCTTCCTGGATGATATTCTTGATATCCTCCCACAGCTTATTTGGTCTTTGCTCATTAGTTTTCAAGGTCTGAAACCTGTTCCTGAGATGGTTTTGAAATTTGAGTGCAATAGATGTAAGGTCAAATTTCGGTTCCTGTGGATTTGATTTAATTTTCTTCAGTTTCAGCCTGAACTTGTGTATAAGTACTTGGTGGTCTGTTCCACAATCAGAACCTAGACCAATTTCCACACCTGATATTGAGCTTCTCCAGCAAGTCTTTCCACAGATGCAATCTATTTGATTTCTATGCATACCATCAGGTGAAATCCATGTGTGTAACCTGCATTTGCTTATATTACAAAAGGTATTTGCAATTAATAAATCATTGAATATGCAGAATTCATTCTATCTCCATCTTTATTTCCGTCACCAAGTCCATATTTTCTTACTACTGATCTTTGTTCTCTGTTTCCTTCTTTTACATGCCAGTCACCCATTAATGCTAATTCATCTTGGTTCCATATTTGGTCAATTTCTGCCTGAAAAAGTTGGTAGAAATCTTCTATTTCCTCCTATTTCACTCTAGTTGATTGTGCTTATGTGAAACTTATATTTGAAACAGGAGACAGTAGTCAGAACACAGCAAAGAGACACTGCATGGTTCAAAATCAGGAAGGGCATATGCCAGGGATGTATTCTGTCTCCATACCTTTTCAATCTATATGCAGAACAGATCATCTGGGAGGCTGGGCTCACTGAGGTGGAATGTGGCATCAGGATTGGAGGGCGATTCATGAAGATGAAACAACCTTGCTTGTTCAAACTGAGGAAGACCTGAAGGGCTTGCTGCAGAAGATCAAGGACTGCAGCCTTCAATATAGATTGAAGCTCAATATCAAGAAAACAAAGATTCTCCCCACTGGGAAAACTGGCAGCATCATGATGGATGGTGAAGAGATTGTGATTGTTAACAGCTTTAATTTTCTTGCCTCTACAGTCAACACTCTTGGTACCAGCAGCCAGAAAATCAAGAGATGAGTTGCATTGGGAAAGCTGGCTGTTTGGAACCTCTCCAGAGTACTGAAGAGCAACAACTCATTTTGGAAACTAAGGTGTGGCTCATCCAGGCTATAGTCTTCGCAATTGCTTACTATGCGTCAGAGAGCTTGACAATGCATAGGGATGATAGAAAGAAAATGGATGCCTTTAAGCTGTGGTGCTACAGAAAAGTATTTACTATTTAATGGACTGCTAGGAGAACAAACATGTTTGTCCTGGAGAGGGTGAAACTAGCCTTCTCCTTGGAGGCAAGGATTCTCAGGCTTTGTCTGACATTGGACATGTTG